TAAGGGTCCTAGGATTTGCAGGATGGCAATAAGCATTACTTCAGCTTAAAGTCACCAGCTGCACTAGCCCCTAACAAAAGAGTCTGTCTGTCCTTTGAAGCTTTGAAGCCAGGCATTCTCTTCTCTTGCTATGAAGGTCCTAGATGGCACCTTTTTCCAATAGAAGGCTGTTTCATCTGTATAGAAAATCTGTTGTTTAGTGTAGCCACCTTCATTAATGATCTTAGCTAGATCTTCTGGATAACTTACTGCAGCTTCTACATCAGTGCTTGCTGCTTCACCTTGCACTTTTATGTTATGGAGATTGCTTCTTAAACCTCATGAACCACCCTCTGCTAGCTTCAAACTTTTCTTCTGCAGCTTCCTCACCTCTCAGAGCCTTCATAGAATCCAAGAGAGTTAGGGCTTTCCTCTGGATTAGGTTTTGGCTTAAGAGAATGTTGTGGCTGATTTGATCTATTATCCAGACCACTAAGACTTTCTCCGTATCAGCAATAAGGCCGTTTTGCTTTCTTATCATTTGTGTGTTGCTGGAGTAGTACTTTTCATTCCCTTTAAGAATTTTTCCTTTACATTCACAACTTGGCTAACTGGCTCAAGAGGCCTAGCTTTTGGCCTATCTCAGCCCCTGACATGTCTTCCTCACTAAGTTTAATCATTTCCAGCTTGTGATGACATAGGACTTTTATTTCACTTGAACACTTAGAGGCCATTGTAAGGTTATTAGTTGGCCTAATTTCAATATTGTGGTGCCACAGGGAATAGGGAGGCCTGAGGAGAGGGAGAGAGACAGGGGAATGGCTTCAGTAGAACGGTCAGAACACACTTGCTGGTTCATGGTGCCCCAAAAGGATTACAAAGTAACATCAAATATCGCTGATCACAGATCACCAAAACAAACACCATAATAATAAAAAAAGCTTGAAATATTCTGAGAATTACCAAAATGTGACACAGACACACGAAGGGAACAAATGCTGTTGGAAAAATGGTGCCAGTAGATTTGCTCACTGCAAGGCTGCCACAGACCTTCAATGTGTAAGAAACACAGCATCTGCCAAGTCAATACAGTAAAATGCAATAAAGCAAGGTCTGCCCAGTATTTGAAATAAAAAACACAATGGATGGATTTAATACCAGCCTAACCATAACTGGAAGATGGATTAGGAAAGAGAGATCCACAAAATTTTACATAATGTAGTCCAAAGAGATGGAAAATATAAAAGAAGTTATAAATCATGGAGATATATACAGGAAATATAACAATCCTTTAAGTGGAATTCCAGACAGGAGGTAGATGATGGAAGGGATAAAAGCAGTAAGTGAAGGGATAATGACTGAGACTTTCCAAGAAATGACAAATCACAGATTCAACAAGCCCAACAAATCCTAATAAGGATAAGTACAAGGAAATTTATACTTGGACACATTCTAGCAAAATTTCAGAATACTGTAAACAAAGAGAAAAAATTTAAAAGCAGCCAGAGGGGAAAAAAGCCAGATGACTTTTAACAGGACAACAGTTAGACTTCCTAACAACTATGGAAGCCAGAAAAAGGTTAAAATCTTCAGTGTGCTGGAAGAAAATTACTGTCAACCTAAATTTGAATATTATCTTTCAAGAACAAAGGAAAAAGCAGAAATCCTCAAACAAGCAAACAGAAACTGAGAGTTTGCCACCAACAGACTCTCACTAAAGGAAATTCTAAAGGCAGAAAGAAAGTGAGCACAGATGGAAGGTCAGAGATGACTAAAGGAATGAGGATCAAGGAAAGTGTTAAATATGCAGTTAATTGTAAATTTCAGCTAAAAAGGTCAACAATAAGAATAATCTCTTAAGAAGTTAAAAAGTAGCTAGAAATGAAATACACAACCATCTATAGCATGTAAGTTTGGAGGAGAATGATCAGAGTTAAAGTATTCTGTATTTTTTATTGTTTGGGAGAACAGTAAAGATATTTAGTATCCAAGTTAAAATTCGTAGCATAACCACCAGAAGGGTGTATAACTTTTTAACTAAAAAGGAAAAAAGTAGAAAGAAAAAAGTAATCCATACCAAAAAAGGAGATGAAAACAGAAAAAAATATTGAATGTTCAAAACACATAAAAAGCATAAAATAAGATGGAGAAATAAATTCAAATATATCAGGAATTAAAATAAGCAAAAATAGGGGCACCTGGGTGGCTCAGTTGGTTGAGTGTCTGACTCTTGATTTCGGCTCAGGTCATGATCTCAGGGTCATGAGATCAAGCCCCGTGTGGGGCTCTGCACTGGGTGTGGAGCCTGTTTGAGATTCTCTCTCTCCCTCTCCCCCTGTTCCCCCCCCAACCCTACTCTCTCTCTCTCAAATAAATAAATAAATCTTTAAAAAATAATAAAAACAGACTACCTGCCCAACTTATAAGGCCAAAAATTTACAGATGGTATGTGTATGTATTGTATACATATGCATTCTGTTCTTTTTTTTTTTTTTAAAGATTTTATTTATTTGACAGAGAGAGACACAGCGAGAGAGGGAACACAAGCAGGGGGAGTGGGAGAGGGAGAAGCAGGCTTCCCACGGAGCAGGGAGCCCGATGCCGGACTCAATCCCAGCCCTAGGACCATGACCTGAGCCGAAGGCAGACGCTTAACGACTGAGCCACCCAGGCGCCCCGATATGCATTCTGTTCTAAAGAATTCAGCTAAATTCTTCTATTTAAGTCACATTTAAAACATAAGGATTCAGAAAAATTAGAATAAGAGTGTGAAAAAAATGATACCATACAGACACTAACCAAAAAAGGTTGATGTTGATATATTAATATCAGACAAAATAGTCCTTAAAACAGAAGGCTTTAAAGAGAATCATTTCATTAAGGATAAAAGGTTCAGTTCTACAGGAAGATATAAGAAGTTCCCTAAACTTGTAAGTACTTAGATCAAGCTGACAAAATCAGTGAGGAGGTAGAAGATTAGAGCAACACAATTAATAAGCTCGCTCTAATTGAATAAGTATTTAGAACATTGCACCTAACAACTACAGAATACACATTCTTTTCAAGCACTATGGAGTATTTTTGAAAATTGACCACATGCTGAGTTATAAAGCAAATATCAACACTTATCAAAAGATTGAAATCATACAGACCATAGTTTATGACCATAATGCAATTAAATTAGAAATCAATAACAGAAAGATAACTAGAAAAGGCCTATATGTGGAAAATTAAGATATCTTCTTCTAACTAACTTGTGGGTCAAAGAAGAAATTATAGAAATTAGAAAATACTTAGAATGTGTGATGACAAAAATACTAGAAATTAAGATGTATTAGGAAAGATGAAAACCTAACAATAAGCTAAGAAGTTAGAAAAACAATAATGAAGTAAAGAAATAAATAAAAGAATGGAAAAAAGTGGAAATGATAAATTTAACAGCAGAAATCAACGAAATAGAGAAAAAATACAAAAAAGGATTAACAAGGCCCCAAATTCTTCCTTTGAAAAGCCTTTTACAGATAAGTATTAAAACAAAAGAGAGATCATAACTACAGTTGAGGCAGACAATTAAATGGTTAAAAAGAAGGATTATGAACAACTTTAAGGCTATGAATTTGAAAATTTAGAGAAATTGGGGCACCTGGTGGCTCAGTCGGTTGAGCGGCTGCCTTCCATTCGGGTCATGGTCCCGGGATCCTGGGATTGAGCCCCTCATCGGGCTTCCTCCTTGGCGGGAAGCCTGCTTCTCTCCCTCTGCCACTCCCCCTGCTTGTGATCTCTCTCTCTCTCAAATAAATATATAAAATCTTAAAAAAAAAAAGAAAATTAGAGAAATGGATAAGTTCTTAGAAAAATATAACTTACCAAAACTTTTTCAAGAGGAAATAGAAAGTAATAGTCAAAAAATTTTTTTAAAGAAAATAAATCATTTATATAAAATTGTCCTACAAGGTAAAAACCAAGACCAGATCAATTTTTTTGTTGTGGTTTTTCTTTTTAATTTTTTTTATTGTAATAATTTTCAATCATGCAAAAAGAGGAAAGAAAGTGTCAATGCTTATCAGCATTTACTTTTCATTCAAACTCCTCACCCCCAACTTTAAAGAAACTTTTAATTTATTTTTTTATTTTTATTGAAGTATAGCTGACAGTGTTACATTAGTTTCAGGTATAATATAGTGATTCAAGAAGTCTATAGAATGTGCTGTGCTCACCAAGTGTAGCTACCATCTGTCACCATACAACACTCTTACAATACCATTGACTATGTTTTCTGTGCTGTACCTTTTACCCCTGGGACCTACTCAGTCCATAACTGGAAGCCTCCCACTCCCCTTCCTCCATTTTGCTCATCCCCCATCCCCCTCGCCTCTGGCAACCATCAGTTCTCTGTATTTATGGATCTGTTTCTACTTTTTGTTTGTTTATTCATTTGTTTTTTTAGATTCCACATATAAGGGAAATCATATGGTATATGTCTTTCTCAGTCTGACTTACTTCACTTAGTGTAATACCCTCTAGGACCATCCATGTTGTGGCAAATGGCACATCTCATCTTTTTTATAGCTGTGTAATATTCCATTATATTCTGTGGGATATATATATATATATCCCATCACAACTTTATCCATTTATCAATGGACACTTGGGTTTCTTTCATACCTTGGATGTTATAATAATGTTGCAATAAACATAGGGATGCATATATCTTTTTGAATTAGTGCTTCCATTTTATTTTGGTAAATACCAGCAGTGAAATTACTGCATCATATAGTATTTCTATTTTTAATTCATTTTTTATTTTGAAATAAATTTAGACTTACTGAAAATTTCCAAAAATAGTACCAGGAATTCCTATATACCTTTTAGCCAGCTTACTCTATTGTTAATATTTTACATAATCGTAATACAATTAATCAAAACTAAGATGTAAACCTTGATACTATAGTACTAACTAATCTTCAGACTATATTTGAATTTCTCAAGTTTTTCCATTAATGTTCTTTTTCTTACCCAAGGTCCAACTAAGAGTCTCCTGCAACCTGTAATAGTTCCTCAAGACCAGATGGGTTAACTGGTGAGTTCTAACAAATATTCAGGAAACAAATAATTCCAATCTTTCACAAACTATTCCAAAGACAAAAAAGTGGAAACGCGCCCTAGCTCATGTTATGAAGTTAGCATAACTTTGATACTTGAGGCCAATCTCACTTATGAACATTGGTACAAAAAATTTAGACAAAATATTAGCAAATCAAATTCTCAAGCACATGGAAAATTAATAAATCATGACCACGGTGGATTTACTCCAGGAATGCAAAGTTGAATTAACATTAGATAACCAAGTAATGAAATAAATTAATATATTAAAGGTAGAAAATCATATAACCATTTCAACAGGTGCAAAAAATTTTAAAATTCAGCATATGGTCTTGATAACAATTTTTTTTTAAATTGAGGTATAATTGACATACAATGTTATATTAATTTCAGATATTTGTAATATAATGATTTGATATTTGTATATATTGCAAAATGATCACTAAGTAAATCTACTTAATATCCACCACAATACATAGTTACAGAATTTATTTTTTCTTGTGATGAGAACTTTTGTTTAACTATCTTAGCAACTTTCAAATATGCAATACAGTATTATTAACTATAGTTACCATGTTGCATATTACACCCATGACTTATTTATTTATAACTAGGAGTTTGTACCTTTCGATTCTCTTCACCCAATTTGCCATTCTCCACCCCCTGCTTCTGGTGGCCACCAATCTGTTCTCTGGATCTATGAGCTTAGTTTTTGTTTTTATTTTCAGATTTCATGTATAAGTGAGATCATAAGGAATTTATCTTTCTCTGTCTGACTTATTTCATTTAGCATAATGCCTTCAAGGTCCATCCATGTTGTTGCAAATGGCAAGATTTCATTCTTTCTTATCACCAAATAATATCCCATTGCGTATATATACACCACATTTTCTTTATCCATTCATCCATTCGTGGATACTTAGGTATTTCCATATATTGGGTATTAACAATTCTTAAACTAAGAATAGAAGGAAATTCTTAATCTGATAGAGGATATCTACACAATATACAGCAAACATGATACTTAATGGGGAAACATTGAAAATATTCCCTGTAAGATTAGGAAAGAAACAATACTACTATTACTACTTCTATTCAACATTGTACTGGAGAACCTAGCTAGCTCAAAAAAGCAAGAATAAAAGAAGTGGAAGTATCATTGCCTGCATTCTCCACCAAAAACTTAAAAATAAATATAAATAGGGGCACCTGGGTGGCTTAGTTGGTTAAGTGTCTGCCTTCAGCTCAAGTCATGATCTCAGGGTCCTGGTTTTGAGCCTTACATCGGGCTCCCTGTTCAGTGGGGAGCCTACTTCTCCCTCTCCTGCTGCTCTCCCTGCTTGTGCTCTCTCTCTCTCTGCCAATTAAATAAATAAAATCTTAAATATATATATATATAAAAGCAATGAAAGTATATGCATGGCTTAAAAGGAACAAAACTCTCATTGTTCACAAATGATATATGACCATCCACATACAAAATCCCACAAATATACAAATGATGAATATTAATGAGAAATTTTAGCCAAATTGTTGCTTACAAAATCAATAGACAAAAGTTAGTTACATTTTTACCCACTAGCAACAACATAATTTGAAAATATAAAATTGAAAATATGCCACTTAAACAATATCAACAATATCAAGTACCTGAAATAAATCTAGCAAAATAAGTACAAAACCTTTATGGAAAAAAGTGTAAAGTTTTATTAAAGAAACCTTAAAGGAGACTAAATGAAGAGCTAAAACATTTCATGGATGGTGGGGCCACCAGACTGGTGCGGACATGCTGGTTTTGGGAGATTTCGCACTCATGTTGGACTAAGGACAAGGTTGGACTTTGAGGTACCCATGGTCCACCACTGACTTGGGCTTATGCTGTGTGTATCAGCCCTGTGCTGGTTCTCACCCATGTGTGTTCCCACCCAGTATACAGAACCCAAGGGCAGCGGGGGGTGATGGGTGTCCTATCCCCTGTGGCATACCCTCCTCCCCTCATTGTCACCCCACTTCTACCACAGACTCCGGGCCACATGTGGTCATTAAAGCCTAATGAGTTTAAGAGAAGACAAGATCAGAAGATGTTCTATGCTCTCACTATAAAATTCCTGCTGGTAAACAAATTATAGAAACAAATTACTGTTCACATTTTTCTGCATACTCTGGACTCACATTTGTGATCATCATCAACAAAGCACAGAAACAACTTTTTAGAGAGTGGCTAGCAGCCTGTATTCACAAGTGACATGATAGATGATGCAGCTTCATGAGTAATTATGTAACCAGTATTAAATACAGTAAATGGTACTAGGGAACCCCAGAGGTAAGAAATCCATATAGTTTAAATACTAGCAGGTTCCAAAGAGCCATGGCATTGTGAATAGTAACAATGTTGCTACCTTTTTCCTGCTGTGGGACATATTAAATTAACCAGGAACAACTCATTTGAGGAGAAAGAACATAAAGAGATGTTGTCCAGACTCTACAAGGAATCTTCATCTGCACTGATTGGACAATACACAAATATTTTATATCTTTTCTGTCAGTTATTTTAAATCTTCATCTATAAACCATTGTTCCTTAGATTGGCTCATAAATTTTGTAATGCAATTTTAAAATCAAGTTTTTTATATAGAGAGGGACCTGGCAAAAAAATATATATTTGACTGTGGCCCCACACATCCTAGGGGTAGCTCTGGGTACTTGATGTCTATGTAACATTGCCTCTTTTACTTTTATGGTTGACTGTTAAAGAGTCTGCTTATGGACATAATGAATGACTGTAATTTTTTTCTATACTATTTTGCCTCTCAGTAGATTACAGAGCCCACTCATTTCTCCCTTCTTCCCTCCCTCCCTCTCTGCCCCCCTCCTGCCTGTCTCTCTCTCTCTCTCTCTCACACACACACACACACACACTAGAAAGGCTTAAATGGAATTGTTCCATCATTCAGTCCTTGTTACTAGATCAGGATTTGTTTTTAAGCTCTGTCAAGGGTTATTTCCACTACAAAGTCCTGGTCTCCTATATCAGCCGGACTCTCAAAACCACTTTATTTTGGGGGATCCTGAGTAATTCCCGCTCTCTCATTATCTTCAGTAGCTATTCTAAACTTCAAGCTCTTTTCCTCATCTTTTGGCTAAAAGTTATTCCCTTCCCCCGTTTACAATAAGTGAATTTTTCTCTTACCTTACACATACACACATACACTCCAACTTCCTGATAAACCCCCAGATTTTATCACCATCAAATTATCTTTTCCTACCCTTTCCTTCCATTTCACCATAAGTAGTGTGTGATTCACTGTGATTAAATACTCCAGTGTGTTCTGATTAAACCCCCTCCTGCGTAATCAGAAACCTCATGTTCTCAATCATCCTCCCTCCTTCCTTCTCTCTCTCTCTTTCACACACACACACACACATACACACACCTGTCTCCAACTTCCCCCTTTCTGAATACTCTTTCCTCCCAATAAAACAAGTTAAAAATTTTTAACACTAAACAAATGAACAAACAAACAACTCTTCCTCAACCCAGTGTCCCTTCCAAAACCAGGCCACCATATCCTATTGTGAACTGCATGTCCCTGGCACCATTCACAGAATCAACATGGTGAGTAAGGTCTCCTAGGATTGACCATTACACAGCCTGAGCAATTGCCTGCAATGGACCTCTTCAAATCGTCTCCTTCCACTATGGTCACTCTTCTTGGAAAAAAGAGAGAAGCTATACTTGCTGTTTCTTCTTCCTTATCTTCTATTCACCCTTTAACTGTCTACATTCTGACTTCTGCGCCTACCACCTCTCTGTGCTCAGGCCAATGGTTTCTTATCACCAAATCAAATGGACTTTTTTTTTTTTTGCCTTTATCTTACTCAGTGGTTATTTGAAGTTACAGACCATTCCTTTCTTCAAACTACTTCTTTAACTTTCATCCTCTTCTAATTTTCCTTCACCTTACCTTGCTGGCCAGTTCTCCTCAGATTCCTTCAAGAACTTCTGTCCCCTGGGCCCTGCTTAGATGTCAGTGTTCTCTGGGGTTATGTCCTAGAATCTCTATCCTTTCACCTTTTCCAGTTTGTTTGGGTGACATAGTTGAAATGCTTCGCTTTACCTATAGTGGGGTCACGTTTTGAAACAGGGAGTTTGGGGGAGGGGGTGGAGAGGGAGATTCTAAAGTCAAGTATAATATAATTTACCCTTTGAAATCCTTTGAATAGTGCATGAGCACAGTATAGCACCATCTCCCGTAAGTCCAGTTAGTTTTTCCTCCAGCTTTGGAAGAGGTTATTGAGTTTCAGCTAAGAACTCAACTTGGGTTTAGGACCATAAATGTAAAAAAAAAAAAAAAAAGGTATAGGGACACCTGGCTGGCTCAGTTCGTAGAGCATCTGACTCTTGATCTCAGGGTCATGAGTTTGAGCCCCATGTCTGGTGTAGAGATTACTTTAAAAAACAGGTATAGTATGTAGATACCAACACTCAGTATAGGGGACTGTTCAGTCCAGGGAACCTGAAACGTGCTAAGAGTTCTGCCTCTCTTATCATGTTGGTTTTGGGACATATGCTGTATGACAGGAATGGTGGGAAAATCCTTCTGTCGTTTTAATTATTGATTTTCTTTATTCTTTTTGTTTTCCCTAAGGTATATAGTTGGATTTGCATAAGTAAAATGTGCATGTGTACTCTACTACCTGTATGCAAACAATTCTCTTGTCTGTATCTCCGGTCTGGTCTTTTGCAACAAGGCCCCCGTGTTGGAAATCCCCTTTATAAGCTGATTATCCCTTCATATTAACACTCTCTAGACTAGACTCAAGACAGTGCAGTAGGTCTTTTCAATGTGATGGTGAAGTCTTGTTTAACTGGTCTACCCAGTAGGGGGCACCTGGGTGACTCAGTGGGTTAAGCATCCGACTCTGGCCTCAGGTGTTGATCTCAGGGTCCTGAGTTCAGGCCCTGTTGTGGGCATG